AGGATTTCTCAAGTGTTGCTGTGTCTCCGTGCTTACCTGCGAAAGAGAAAGAAAAATGTTTAATTTCTCGTTCTGAATATAAATATGGATTACTTATATCGATTATTGATTTCATTAGGATATGGTTCACTGATTGGGAGAAAATTAACTGTTCATCCAAGTGATAGAAAGAAAAGCGTTAAGAAAGTGGGGTTTATTTTGCTGACTAGAAGTCTGTGTGTACTGTAGGTGTTGCCGGCATTTTCTTTTGGCAGCCTTAAAAATGCGTGTTGACCCCTGCCCCTTATGTGCCTCTGTCAGCAGGCCACCTCACGGACCCATCGCGCACACCCTCATACGACCGCAAATGCATTGCAGATAAAAAACAAGAAAAAAATCGACTGCATATGAATATCCGTGCCCCTAAATTATCCTTTCATGGGTAATCGAATAGCTTTTCCCTCTCTTTTCTCTCTCTATTCCATTCTCCTCTGCACTCGCAGACCAGTAACGCCCGTGTGGAAATGACTCACGAACCAGAAAACAAAACCAGTATAAAAAATGAGGAGGAGGAAGAGGCTCCTCCCTCTTCCCTCCCTCTCTTCCTCCTCGTCTCGGCGGGCTCGGAGTAACACCCCCGCTTATGTGGCGCTGTTGCTGTGGGCGGTGAATGCTGCCCCGTCTTGGTGGAAAGCGCCATTTGGCGTACTTGATTAAAAAAAGGATAAATCATGTTTTTCTTATTCGCCAAGAAAATAAACTAGCGAGCCAACCCCTCTCCTTGCTTCCTTGATTTTCTTGTCCCTGTTTATCGGTCAAGCTCAAAGGCAAATGGCGGTAGGAAAGAACGGGTAAATTTAGCGTCGACAGTGACTGGCACTGCATTCACTTGTGCGCCTTTAAATTAAGGTATCATCAATTTTCTGGTATTGTATACATGGGTGAGAGAATCAAATGAAGGTCGAGATACCCCATAGACGACATTGGTAGTAAAAGAAACTTGACGTTGAATGGCATTTGAAGAAAAGAGGGCGGGGTTTATTTAAGATGTTGGTTATATCCGGACTCTTTATTGAATCAACTTTTGCCGTTTATCTGATAATAAAACGTACGAATTGAATCTATTATGTGGCATAATGTCTACCTAAGCATTACTTTAACATCTAGTACGAAAAAAGAAGCATTAAAAAGGTCATTTCTAACAGTTTTTTGCTATATTGTTTATGCGAAAAAGCGTTTCATAGATGCGTCTTGTAAATTGATGACGTCATAATCAACGCTGTTCAAACTCGTTCGTGCAAATTTGAAACCAGAAATTATTTATTCTGTTGATCTTTCCAAAGATGTCTCAGACAGGCGAGAGGTTATGTTGATATTTTTGCAGTTTTTAAAAGTATAAAATAAATGTTCTGGGAATCAAATTGGAACAATTTTCAGTGTTGTTCATTTTGGACGAAACGGAAAGAAATGAAAATGGTGAGAATATTATGCAACATTGTACCCGAAGACGACCGGAAGCCGGCCTTTGCGTTAATAATCCTGAAAAGCTTTGGAACTAGAACATTCCTTTGTCTATAACATTATTTTTTTTTTCTTAAATTTTGGCCATGACTGCAGAAACCCGAGACAAAAATCCATCCATTTTGGCAATAATTGGACGTCAGTGAGGTTACTAAAGGCCATCTTTGTAGGCTTTGAATTTAATCAATAGCGAGTCGGAATTACTGATAATTATTAACTTCCACAACAATTAAAAACCAAAGAAATATGTTCATCTTTAATGTGACAAATAAATAACACAGCAAATAGACCAATGAACAACAATAACACGACGAAAAATGTTCAAGGTCCCACCGAGACTCGAACTCGGATTGTTGGATTCAGAGTCCAAAGTGCTAACCATTACACCATGGGACCGCTCTGCTCTCCTACCGCAAAACATCTTGTATAACGAATCATTAAATGTAAAGTTCATTCTCATATATGCGTGATTACTATAGTACCACGATATAATACACTGCCGTGCTGTATTCTTAAAATTCCGCTGCAAACGGACGTAAGAGCGAGAAAATGCGTCACGGAGGAGGAGCGAGAGCGAGAGAGAGAGAAAGAGGAGGAGGGGGAGGAGACAGTCGAGGGGGGGATCGGTAGGCGGGGCGAAGGCGGGGGGGAGGGAAGAGTGACGCACAGAAAACCGCTGACGAACAACGGGGTTTATGTAGCGCTGTTGGGTGGTGGGCCGCGCGTGGAGCGAGGGACATGTGACGACCCTTACCTGACGACCTCTGCCAAGACACAAAGCACGTTCGAGGCCAATCCATGGAAGGAGTCGAGAGGAATCTTAAAAAAGGAAGATGAAGAAATGCACATTTTTCTACATCTGGCCGCGCCCACAGCGTCTCATGGTCGACTTCTTTATATCATGCTTACGTTTACATTTATATATACCTTCTATATTCTACGCCAAGACGCCAAATAATTGAACGGAAAGAAATAACAAAGAAAAAGAAGAAGAAGAAGG